TGTCTGCTGGTAGAACCAAACTAAATGCTACAGCTGATCATGTGACCTATGTAAGCTCTGAAACGGGCACTTAAAATTCACCGGGTCCGGACTAAGTTTGTGAGAATCTCTGCTGATGACTCAAACATTTTTTTTGAAATCACTATATTCAAAACATTTGCAATAGGCACCCAGTAACTGACACACTATTCGGAGGAAAAATCATTTCTCTGTATTAATGCATGTGCGTGTGTGAGAGAAATAAATATATGCACAGGCATGGGTGGTTTTCTGTTGGGATTAGGCCGTACGTTATACAGGATTAGCTTTGTCGATATTGGAGAGTCCCTCTTATATTCCTAGTCATTATAGACAGAGACTTCGTGGCTGAGTGCTAGCAATCATACCTACACTATATAGACAAGACACAATGCAACCACAATGGATTTATAATAGAAAGGAACAAAGAAGTTCCATAACAATCTGAAGAACACAAAATAATGGAGCAGTGTAGCTGCTTCAAATCAGTGCTGTACAATAAATGAACATTTAAAGACGGCAGCAAAAGTGGGCTTGGAGCGTGTGGGCTACATGTATGTAGGCCAGTTTCCATCAACTTGGTTTTGATTTTGTGTTTTAGAGAGAGGGAGAAAAAAGAGGATTAGATCAGAAAGAGAATGAGGAATGCCTCAGAGTACGACAGCGTAGATAAAAGAAATATTTAACAGCAAGCTTTGAACAAATCTTGCAGTTGTTTGTTTCTTTAAAAAGTCTGACCAACATGCTTTGTGTGTGTGTGTGTGTGTGTGTGTGTGTGTGTGTGTGTGTGTGTGTGTGTGTGTGTGTGTGTGTGTGTGTGTGTGTGTGTGTGGCTTCCTGACCTTAGCGACTATTATGGTCTTACTCACTGTTTCCGCTCACTCTTGCTGTGAGTATGTTCATGTGTGTGTGTTTTTTAAAACAAGGCGTAGGTAGCAGTCTTAGCCTACACTACAGTATAAGACTGTTGGATGTGTGTTTCTGTCTGTGTGTGGGATATAGGTTGTATGTTTCAGTGTTTTGTGTGGGTGTGTGAAGAATTTCTTTTTCAAGCCCCTGTGTGGGAAAATGCTGTACTATAAAGTGTGTGTGTGAGCATTATTCTTCATCATTATAGAATAAGAGCCTACTACTCAGTTCTGTAAAATACGGACATACAGTGTAAGTTATTGTCATTCACTTCCCCAGAGCATTTCACTCTCAATGTGTGTGTGTGTACTTATGTCTGCGTGGACTTTTCCCAAGTGTGACAGAGAAGTGGACAGGAAAGGAACGCTGTCATTTTGAGTGTACGCTCCCTCATCAGATCCCCTTTTTTCCGCCAGCTGAAAGGACGCTGAATGAATGAATAGCATCTCTTTGTGTGTGTGTGTGTGTGCGCGCTCGCCAGTGTGTGCGTGTGTTTTTATTTTAAAGATCTACGAGCACGAACATGTGGGTGTTTTTTTTGCAGAGTTAGAAAGCATGCGTTAGCTTCTGCATATGGTCGTAGGAGAGTGTGAGATGCGACGGAAAGTAGGAAACACCGTGTGCAAAAACACGTGTGGTATGTTTGCAAGTTTGTGTAGGTGTTGGTGTCTGCTCAACAGCTTGTAAAATATCAGCAAATGATAAACAGTACGTTTTTTTGAATAAGTTGATTTAGTGTTCTGTGTATGTCATTGGGAATTTTCACAGAAACGTAAAGGAAGGAGAAATAAGGCTTGATCTTGAAGAGTAATTGCAAATGAAATATGTGCGTCTTAGTTATATGGTAATAAATATGATTCAGAAAACAGTATCAGTGTTCATTTGATCAATTTATACCAAAAAGACCACACATTTGATATTGGTCAGAAAGTTATTCTATTAGATTATAAATAATAACACATGTACTAACTCGGGGGCCGGAAAAACATACGCACTTACTTACATCCGGTCTCTCAATTCAAAGAAACAATTGGATACAATTGCAAAAACCAAGTGTTCGGTATGTTCGTGAGGTTAGTTAGGAACTTGTATTTCATTAGGATTAAATACAATTACTGTAAAATATGTGGTATTTAATAAAAGGACAATATTTGAGCAAACCAATTTAGTTTGAACAGTTTATAGATCTTACAGTTATTTGCAGATTTAATGTGTAAGAAAACAAAGAGAATGAAAAAAGACGTGAGATCATTAAATGTAATTCAGGGATAAGTATGTCTGTGAGATACTCCTCTTATGTTTATGTTACACACATTATAATCCTACATGTACACATTTACTGTATATTCAGTGTTTTTGTTGATTCACACAGAAATAATGCATCAACACAGGGCTCATTTAAGCTCCGCAACTGTGACTGTCACGCACTTTTAAGACAAAGCTGTGTATTTGTCTGTGTGTACATGTTTTCCCACATAAGAGTGCTAATTTGTACGTTAATTAAACATCTTTAAAGGCGTCACCGTAGCTTCCTGTGAAATCCAAACTGTTAAAGGGACAGCGAACAGAAGTCTTAGCGACAAAGATGAGACCTTTTTTTTTCTTTTTTCTCGTGTGTGTGTGTGTGTGTGTGTTGGAGTGCTGTAGTGAAAAGGGCATGTTACTGCAACCCTAGATTTATGAAATATGCTTTTTTGCCGCTTTTGTAAATTGAATGTTACACACCATTGAAGATAAGTGTACAGCAGTTGTGTGTTTTTATGGCAGCATGCTTTGGACAAACTCAAAAAGCCTTTGCATTTATTCATTTGTAGATGACCAAATGATATTTAAGACTAACCGGTATTCAAATTACAACAGAAACGTTTTTCAGTGTCTGTTGTGGCTTAGGAATCACAATGACTGTAAAACTGAAATATGTGAAATCAAATAGCTATCTATCTTAACAACTGTTGGATGGATTGCCATGGATTTGCTCATTCTAATGCTACAAACATTCACGACCCCTTCAGAATCACATCTATTTACTTTGAGGATCCATTTTTATTTTTATGTAGAACCGCAATCGGGTAAAAATTAATATTTGCCCCATATTTTTTGTGTTATTTTACAAAAAAGTCCAACCTGCAATGATATTCTCATTAACTTTGGCTTTACTTTGAGTTTACTGCTAATTAGCAAATGTTTGCATGCTGATGTACTTAAAGGGGGCCTATTATGCAAATGTTCTGGCTCATATTTGTATTTTGTGTCTCTCCTGTGACATGTCTCCATGCTTTAATGTTCAAAAAGCTCTTTATTTTTCTCATACTGCCTGTGCTGCAGCACCTCTGTTCACCCTCTGTCTGAAACCAGAGCCCAGTCTGCTCTGATTGGTTAGCTGGCTGGCTCTGTTGTGATTGGCCAACCGCTTAAAGATGTCCTACCCCTTAGCCTATCGTACAATGTGTTGGAGTGCTAGCCAGTAGACGAACACTTGTTACATATACCTCATTCACACCAACGGTGTTTCAGGGCCGGTTCGGAGCTGGAGCTAGAAAAGCACCGGGTTTTCCTCTTCACACCGCAGCGAGCAGCCTCTTAGCTCCGGAATCCGATTCATTTCAAGCACCAAAAAATTGTCCGGCCAGAGCAAAAGCACCGCATACGTCACGCTTACGTAGAGGCAGGGGCAGAGGGCAGGATCAACTCCTGAACAACAACAAAAAGCCGGCGTTTTATCCAGTTTGTACACAACGATGGAGAAACTTAACAAGAGTTTCAGTTTTTCTGCCATAGACTGTATATGTAAAGGTTTCTGCTCATGGTGAAGCAATGTGTCTGCGTGTTAAGGTGGAACCTGAGCATTCACGTTGATCACCTCTCATTATAANCGTGTGTGTGTGTGTGTGTGTGTGTGTGTGTGTTTGTGTGTAAAAAAATAAAAAATAAAGGCCAACTCGTGAAGCTACATTTTTACATAATTTGTCTCGTCTTCGTCTCATTTATGTAACTTGCAACAGCTTCAACTGAATTCACATTAATAAACAAAACAATTTCTGATTCTCCTCTGGTGCTTTTCTCAAGATGTAGCTGCACTATCTCTGCATTTCTCCGTGGAGTCTCACTACAAGAATGATTAGTATTTTACTGCAAAATGCTGGATAACCTGCTAGTTCAAGGCCAGTAAACGGAGCGACTCGTCAGTCCTTTCAAAGGGATCTCTGCTTGGCAGCAGATCACACTGCAGAGCCTCACAGCTACCAAAAAAGACATCCATTATGAAGGTACGAGACCATTCCGGATTTATTCATATTTACTCTATGGATGGTAAATACAATATAAACACAAACTAAAGGATATTAATTACGCAGAGAAAAATAAAACAGCTAGCCTCTAAGCCTTTATGCCACACAACTAGGAGATGTTACAGAAATGTTACTTTCTAAATATTTGGATTTATAAAAAAAAGAAATGAAATCAAGGGAAATATTTCCCCAATGTTTCATTTGTATGTACAGAG